GTCTTTTTCATACACACAGTGACTTGTTTGTACTGCTCTATATACTACACACTGACCTAGAGAGGTGTTTGTCCAGTCTGTTCTTAAATACCTCTAATGATGGAGATTCCACAACCTCCATTAGTAACCTGTTCCAGTGTTTAACTATCCTTATAGTTAGAAAGTTTTCCTAATATTTAACCTAATGTTTTTGTTATTTCTCTTTCTCTCTCTCTCTCTCATTATAACTTTTTGAGTGTTTTTCCTCTTATTTTCTGTCTGCTCAGTTATCCACATTATAATTGGTTGAATAGCGTAAAAAAAAAGATTTGCAAATCTACGTGGTGAGTTCGTTCTGATGTTACTCATGAGGTCACATTATGAGTTTTCAGATTGCTGGTGGACTCTGTTATAGTTATTAAAATGATTGTGAATCCTGATAGCGTCACAGAATTTAGCCCAAGTGAATATGTAAGGAGAAATTAATCTCAGAAGTTTATTCTTTATTCCCTAAACCCCACTGAATAGGGATGCAGCCCTATTTGCTCTTTGTTAGTCATCATTTATTATTTTCCTTTTAAAAACTTTCAATCATCCAATCAGGGAGCAGAGGTAATAACATGTGACTTCAGTTATTAATCACACAGTACAAGTAGCAAAGAAATGAAGTGAACCATTCACAGACATTTTCACAGGCTGAAATTTGTTCTCAGAAGCTATTTGGTGAATACTGACAGATAACAAATACATCTACAAAAATGGGGATCATTTCATGAACAGAAGAAAGGGCATCCATTGTGTAATTCAGGGGTTCTCAGATTTCATTGCACTGTGACCCCCTTCGGACAACAAAAATTACTACATGACCCCACAAGGGGGGACTGAAGCCTGAGCCTGCCTGAGCTCCGGAGCCAGGGGAAGGGTGGGGAACCAAAGAACTTCAGCCCCAGGTGTGGGGCCTGTAACCTGAGCACCATCACCCAAGGGTGAAGCCTTTGGGCTTCAGCTTCAGCCCCAGGCAGTGCGGCTTGGGCTTCGTCTTCAGCCCCTGGCCCCAGCAAGTCTAACACCAGCCCTGGCAACCCCGTTAAAACAGGGTCGCAACCCACTTTGGGCTCCCGACCCACAGTCTGAGACCCACGGGTAATTTATTCAGAGTTAATAGTTCAATCTGCATGTTTGTTTCCTTGCTTTCCTTTGAGAACACTATTTATTGATGTTTTTATGATTATTTCAGGGTTACACCAGAGACATACACTGTAATACTGGATTGATTTCTGAAATCTTTACTCAGGCAAAACTCGCATTGGCTTCAAAATGTATGCTATAAGATCTCGATCCTGCCATGAGATCTGTGCGGGCACAACCCTATGCCCATGTGGAACCCCAATGAAGTCGGGGAGGGGCCCCCAGGCAGGTGCAGGAGTCCATGACACAGATGTAGTTGTAAGGTCAGGAGCTAAGAGTGAAATTCACCTTTCTGCCCAGAGCCTCTGCCATAGGTGTAAACTTCACCCTGACTGACTTGAATGGGAGTTTTGCCTGAACAGTGACAAGATTTGGGGGGAGGGGAAGTGCGTGGAAGACTAGAAACAACACTTTCTTACATGTATTTTTGATGAAAATCATAAAAATCTTTGACTATGTATTTTAAGAAGTTCCATGTTTTACTTTTTTCTCTTAGATGTCACAGACCTGTTTGTATTGCTTTAGAGGGCAGTGACACCTTGTGATACTGGCCACTCAAGCAACATCTACAAGGTTTTACTAAACATTCAATCAGGTGGTGCTTGTAGGTCACAATAAAAAAAAAAACAGTGACAGTTTTAATCATGATCCGCAGTGTCTGTTCTTCTGCTTTGGTTTCTGAGAGACGATAGGTCTGATTCTCAAACTGCAGTACGTGAGCAGCTGCCATTGAAGCCAATGGCTGTAGAGTCAGAACTTCCATGTAACAAATGCATCAGCTAGTTTGCAAAACCCTGATGTATGAATTTTGGTGTCATATTTGCAGTATGTGAAGCTATCAATGAGTTAGGAATTTTGAGGGCATCAGACATTTTTTACGAGATGCTCTGCACCACGTAGGTTTGGGCCCTTGTTTAGAATCTGTAAACCTTTGCTCACTCAGGACAGGGTCTACGGCAGTGAGTGGAGTACAGACATTGCACGCCTAACTGGCATGGGAATAAATGGCAGGGTAAATGATGAGGCACTGCTTAGATGAACAAAGTAGAGAGCCCTGCATCCCTGATTTCCAGGGTATATATCTTACATGGCTCTCTACACACCCAAGCCCTGTCTCCCTCATTTACACTGCAGTTTTTAGGAGTGTAGCATCCTGCTGCCTCCTCGCTGCTGGAGGCTTTCCCCACTGCAGAGAAAGTCTCTGTCAGCAAGGAAGGCTCTGGCAGGGGGAGGCAGTGTGGAAAGGCTCCAGCAATGGAGAGCTACACTCTCCAGTGAGTGTGGACGCAGCATGTAGCTACATGTACCCTACACGCCACTGCAAGTGTAGACAAGGTCTTAGAAAGCACAAAGTTACATACTTGCGTATGTAACCGGAGGCCTGGGTGGGCGGGGCTAGTCTGTGCAGCTGCAGCTTCACTGCTATTATTACTGAAGCTAGTTGGAATCAAAGCTAGCTCGGGTAGGTCTGCAAGTCCTGCAGTCACACCTCCCATTTGCAGTGTAGATATACAGACCCTTAGACTGTACGCTCCTGGCGGCAGTCTTGTTGTTATGTGTTATACAAGTGCCCAGCACAAAGGGGCTCTGGTCTATGATTGGGCTCCCCATACACTACTGCAATACAAATAATAACCATAATAAACCAATGTAATACAGCATGTGTCCTTTTCGTATATAATGCAATCAGAATACCTGCCGGCTCTCTGCTCTGGTGAGCAATTTGAGCTTAAGATGTTGGGAGACAATATTAATCTTCCATTTTGCTCTTTCTTTCAGGGGGTTCACGAATCTAAAGGAGTGACTGAAGACTATTTGAAACTGGAATCCCTGATACAGAAGGTGGTTTCCCCATACTTGGGCACATATGGTCTGTATTCCAGTGATGGACCCTTCACACACTCTTCTTGTATTTTGGGTAAGAATAACAGGGGCTTTTAAAATGTCATTGATTTGACGTAGTGCAGATGGTGAGCCAGAAAGCTTTGTAAATACATCACACTGATGCCCATAAAACAGGTGATTGTCAATGCCAGAAAAACAGGGACATATAGTTTCCTTTATGGTGTGCTGGGGGCACACAAAATTACAGCTAAGCCTGACCAAGCCTCCTCTAGCTTTTGAAACTCTGAAATAAAATTTGTAATAAAAGAAGTTTTATGTTCCATGGCTTGTGTTATGCAGGAAGTCGGACTAAATTATCATAATGGGCCCTTCTGACCTTAAAATCTATGAATAAGTTTACATCTCTCTCTCTCTCTCTATACCACTTTCAATTAGAAGAATTGAACCCAGGGTGCTTTATGGACAATGTGAGGTAGAAGGAGAGAGGATGTGCAGATACAAGAAGTGCATGCAGCAATCACTGTGCCTAAATGTAGCCATTTCTGGAATGGAGCGTTGTGCCTTTTTATCAATACCCAGCAACTTCATACAACTGTTTAAGACAGAAAATGATGGTGAAGGGTGATCAAAAGCACTCAGTGTCTTCCATAGAAGATTCCAGCTAATGTCAGTAGAGGTGGAGTTAGGCCAATACTGAATGCTATTCCATTTGAGTAGTTTATACTGTTGAAACCATAGGGAAATACACAGGCACTGCGAGTCAGAATGGAAAAGTAGTAATTGTATCCATAGTTTTAAAACCACCCTTAAATTGTGCATTTTCTGGGCAATTGATTTACTCCATTTTCTCGTATGAAATTGTCAGTAGGGTAGTTCATGATTTTCACATGAAGCTGAATTGAAAGTGGATTGTGTTGCAACAGGCATTTAAAGAAACAGATCAATTTTATGTGAGTCAGTCTAGGCTGGTTATCTTCAGAAAACGATGATTCAAAAGAACCATTTTGTATTCATCACTGCTATTAAAGGGACATGAAACAGTGTGATTATTGGGGCTGCTTATTACACCAAGCCCCTAGGGTGCCAGTAGCATGCCCCGTGATCTTGACTTGTAGGTGCTTCAGCAGTTAGGCCTCATTGGTACTAGTTCTGGTGGGGCCCCAAAATAGGGTGACCAGACGTCCCGATATTATCGGGACAGTCACGATTTTAGGGGATTTGTAACGCGTCCCGACCTTACATTGGTCGGGACGTCTGGTCACCCTATATGAGGGAGACCGCGGCAAGCAGGCGCCGCCGGCGCCACTCATCTTCCCTCCCTGGGGCAGCGCGCAGCTGAGCTTCCGGCGCGGCAGAGCCAGCCCACGGGACCCGCCGCCTGGCCAGCAGGAGCCTACAGAGCACAGTCCTGCCCCTGCCCCGGCACACAGAGAGGCAGCGAGGAGGTCTTGCTCTGCTGTGTGCTGCAGCGGGGCGGGGCCTGTAGACTCCGGCAGCAGGCAGTGGTCGCAGGGCAGAGAGCCCCCCCGCCCCCCACCCCTCGACCCGACCCTAGGAAAGGGCCAGAGGGACTGGGAGGGACCTGCCTGCTGGCTGCTTCCTGGGAGCTGCTCCAGGTAAGCACTGCTGGGCTCAGCTGGCCTCCTGGCAGGTCCCTCTGGGGGAGGGCTCCCCTCAGACCCACTGCCCTGAGCCCCCACCCTGACCCTGTTCCCTCAGCCTCCCCCACAGTCCCCCCTGTGCCTCCCACCCTCAATCCACTGCCCTCAGCCCCCACCCCAACCCTGTTCCCTCTGCCTCCCCCGCAGTGTCCCCCCTGTGCCTCCCACCCTCAATCCACTGCCCTCAGCCCCCACCCCAACCCTGTTCCCTCTGCCTCCCC